ATCGAGGCTCGCGCGCGCCGTGCCGTGCCGTGCCGTGCCGTGCCGCGCCGTGCCGTGCCGTGCCGTGCTGTGCCTGCTGTGCCTGCTGTGCCTACTGCTCCGCTGTGCCTGCTACTCTCTGCGTAGCCGTTCGCTTTCTCGCCGCGACGCGGCCGCCGCCAAGCGCCGCGTAGCGCCCGCGTTGCGCGCGATCCTTGCACGCGCGAGATAATACGGCAAAGTCTCGCGCCGCGAGGTGTTTTCTGCCGCGACCGTCGCGACCGTCGCGACCGCTGTGCCAGCGACGTCGTCGAGACGCGGAGCCACCGCGTTGATCGTCGTTCGCGACCTAGCGCAACGCAAGAGGATCATCCCCCCTACCCGGTGTGTCGTCGTTTCTTCGATCGATCGAGGTACGTTCGTATCGTCCACGCGACGCTCGATCGATCCCTAACCGATCTCGATCGTCGAAAAATCTCACCGAGAAAAAGTACTCCGCGACACACCATCACCACCACCACCACCCCCTTTATCGTCCGGAACGTTTCGCTTCGTTGAATAGGAAAAAGAACGCAGACTGCTCTCCTTCTACTCGTTTCACGCTCAGCGTCCACTGCCGGCACGAAATTTAAACGGTCGTTCGAGTTAATGGAAGAAAGTGAACTCCGAACGATATTACGCCGCTGAAAACGTAAGGAGAAGCCGTGGAAAGTCGCGCCTCTGCTCTTCCTCGTAACTCTTTCCTTATCTTTCCTTATGGATACGACGATTCCTTCGCCGAAATCTCTAGGACGAGAACGAGACGCGATTCGCGCGTGGAGGAACCGAAAAGTTTAATCGGCGACCAGACGAGACGACGACGGGATGACGAAACGAGAAAGGATGGTCGCGAGATAGAATGGCGCGAGCCGACAGGGAACGAGAGCCGGCCGGTCGGTGACCCAATTCGGGCGGCGGGCTTTTTCCAACGGCGCGAAAGTTGAACGTGACCGGGGAAACTTTTCGTGGTCGTGGCAATCGAGCCGCCGCGCCTCCTCGCATTTCAGATCCAGACGACCACGGTGGTGCCCCGCGTTCCTTCACCCTCGCTGCCCCCGAAATCGCGCTTAAACTTTCACGCGCCCTTCTTTCTTCCTCCCTCCCTCCTGCTCTTATGCTCCCTTCGTCTTTCCTCTATTTTTCTTTTTTCCCCGTTCGACAACGAAGAGACTTCCCCCTTTACCGATTTTTCCGGTTCACGCGAGAAAATACAAATCCGGTAACGGGAACAGGTGTCGAGGGTTAATAATCGGTGGAACCGCCAGTTTGATCGATCGATAACGATGACCGATTTTCGTCTTTGCGGTCTCGTCGGTGTTTTACAAAGTAGAAAGTAAGTTCAGACTCCGACGCTCGTTAACTCGAAAACTAGAGTTCCGACTTCCGCGCGCGCTCTCTTGCTCGAGATTACGTCCTACATCCTTCGGTCGTCGTCCGACGTACTCGAGAATACTCGAACCGAGTTTCGTTCGCGCAAACTTTTTCTCCGAGGGAGCCGTCTCGACGAAGATCGCCACGCGGATCTAGATCGTCTTTGTATCGATTATCCGCTATCGCGGGTAGACGAAGAACGGATAATAGTCGAGTCGTGTACGCCGTTCCAACAGAGGGGATTCTCCATTTCTTTCATTTTCTCGCTTAATTTTCCTTAAACAATGTCCGCGAAATCCGGCGGTGACGACGATCGAACGGAACGGAACGGAACGGAACGTTTTCGCGTATCGATGACGGAAATCCGCGCGTGCTCGAGTTTGCGGAAAAATTTGACGAACTCCGCGCGATTTCTCTCGACAGCCATCGAGCGCGAAAAAATATCAGGAACGGAAGAAAAAGGAAGAAAACAACGACGACGACGACGACGACGACGAAGAAGTATTCAGCGTGGAAGAGTATCGTAGCAGTGACCTGCGAAAAGATTGGGGAAGCCGGCTAAGTGCGTGAGTGGGACAGGGATGCAAGCTTGACGGTTGTCGATGTTGGTGCAAGTGGGAAAGGAGGTGGCGGAGGTTGGGGTTGGTAGTGGTGGGAACTATAATGAGTGGCGGCTGTGTCGGGCGAAGGGTAGAGGACGAGGATGAGGGCGGTGTGCTCGAGGGTGTGGGTAAGAGCGAGGGTGAGGGTGAAGCGGAGCGAGAATGAGCCAGAAGAGCAGAGTGAGAGAGAGAGGGAGAAGGGGAGAGAGAGAGAGAGAACGAGTGGTGGAAGGGAGAGAGAGAGAGAGAGAGAGAGGCGGAGTGGCAGGATTGGAAGGAGATGGGAAGGAGGGATAGAGGAAGGAAAGGAGAGGGAAGGTAGATAGGGTAAAACGAGATGGGCGAAGGGTACAGGTGGCGAAGGAGGGTTGGCCGGTGAGTGTGGGAAAGCGTGTAGCCTCTGCCTCCTCCCTTTTCCACCCACCCACCACCCACCTTCCACCCACCGGCCACCCTTTTGCCAGCTTGCTGCTCGGTCCAAAGGGGTGGCAGGAGGGGCCAGAGGGGCAGGAAAAAGGGAACTAGAGCTGGCCGACGGGGGGGCAGGAGGGCGATGGAGAGAGGGGGGAGGGAGGGGGAGGAGGGAATAGCAGGGAAGGGGTTGTCGCACGCCTATCCGCTCGATAGCAGCTTTCAGTCCGTGCACGTTTACTACCCCCTAGAATTTTGTGCCCTATCTTTTGCGAAACTCCCTGGTCTCGGAAAGATTCGTTCGGTACACGGTACCACCACCGCGGCCCATCTTCCACCCTAGACGATTCGCGAGATTTCGTCCCTCGCGATCGAAACGGCCACCGTTCCACCGATCATTCGCCACACGTTCGACGACGACGATCGTTACGCGCCAACGAAATCCCGCGGTTACCGGTTCCCCTCTAACCAGCCACGCGATCGATCTCTCGATCGGCTTCCGATCATTCCGCCGGAAACGGGAAAAAAGTGGAAAAGGTGGAAAAAGAGATAAGATAGAGGAATGAGAAAAAGCAAAAGCAAAAGCAAAAGCAAAAGAAAAAGAAAAAGAAAAAGACACGCGACGAAGAACACTGGCCACGTACGTCTCGTGCCTGAAGCCTGTTTCGCGAGATCGTAGAAAAACGTCACGGCTCCGGAATTCTTACGAGGATGTCATTAAACGCGTCTACGGTTATACGTGCTTGTTCGCAAATTGTGGCAGTTGGATGGGTCCGGGTACCGAACGATAGAAAAGAGAGCATCGCGGTACACTCGGCGCTTTTCCTAGGTCTCCGTGAACGGGTCTTCGTCCTGGAAAACCCTGAAAATTGATTTTCCAGGCGCGGTCTCCCGCGGTACCCACGCACAGGTCTGTTTCTCTCTCTCTCTCTCTCTCTCTCTCACTCTCTCTCTCTCTCTCCCCTTTCTCTCGGTTGCATCGATTTTCACCTGACTCTCCTCGCATCCCCTGCAGCGAACTCGAACCAGCCGTTCATTCAGAATCCGAGGAAAAGAAGGAAAAATCTGGGTCAACGAAATTTTCGAGAATCCCGAAAGGACGCGCGATACCGCGAAACCGAACGCTCGATCCCGATCGTATCGCGCGATTTTTCCATTCGAATCGTTAGAATCCTCGATTCCTCCACCAGAAGGTAACTTCCTTTCCCGGAAGAACGCTCGTCGTTGGATAACCGAAATTACCCGAGACGCGTAAAACTACGCGCGAAACGCGAAATTCCCCTCGCCGATCCGGAGACGAGACAAGTTGGACGCGAATGGACGCGAATGGACGCGAACGACGATAGCACGGTGAAAATATCGCGGAAACGCGACTGCACCGAGGAGTAAACGCGACGCGGAATGTCCTGTTGCTCTCGAACGTTTCGGAAAGTCGGCAAAACGAGTTAAGTCGGTCAAACGGGAGAAAACCGAAACTTTTTCGACTTTGAAAGTTTCGAGGGCCGAGATAAATTTACGGATGCCTGGGAAATCGGTAAACTCGAGTTTGCTCCCGTTTTAAGATTACGCACGGCAAATTCTTTTTCGCCCCCTCCCATCGGCCATCCTTCTCTCCACCGGGGTTAAACGCGTTCGCGCCACCATTCTACGTCGTTTACGCCGCGTTCGATCGTCGATTCGATCGCGCCTGTATCCGTGCAAGAGAAAAACAGAGGGGAGAGAAAAGAAAAAGAAGAAGAAAAGAAAAACGATAAAAGTTTCGTAAGAGCGATAAGACGAGATAAGGCAAGGTAGGGCAAAGCAAAGCAAAGCAAAGCAAAGCGAAACGAAGGTAAGATAAGGTAAGGTAAGGTAAGGTAAGGTAAGGTAACGAGCGACGCGGAGAGGTCGAGGAAAGTCAAGTTGGGTTAGGTTAGCGGTGCGAAAGAGAAGGGGAAGGGTGGCATTTCGCTTCGATAAAGTTTGTTCGATCGGTCGTTAGTCCTGTTCGAAGGGACCAACAGGCTTGCCGCGCGCTTGTCGGATCCACGTGTATAGGTGTAATGGCCGCGGTGAACCGAGCCAAGAGTTTTTCTAAATCGAGAAAAAGAGTTTACCTTTCGCTCCCTTCGTCTCCCTTCGTCTGCCTTCGTTTTCCCTGCGTGTCGAGTTTAACAGCTAACGGACGAGTTGTCGGGTTGACGGAAAGCGCGCTGCAGCTATGGCTACGGCTACGGCTATGGCTACGACTACGACTACGGCGGCGCTACGGTAACGGCAATGGCCACGGCAGACGAGCGTTTAACTTTGTTCCGAAGTTCTCCAAGGTCGTGTGGTGTGCGGCTGTAGGTCGGTGGTGCGAGAGGAGGCGAGACTGGGAGGACAAGAGGGAGAGAATTTCCGAGGCCGCGTCATAAATCTCTATCTGCCGCTGCTAGGGGTAAACGCTCGCGGGATATACTTCGGCGACGTCTGTAATTTCGCGCCATCGGACCTTTCTCTCGCTCGCGCTCGTCCACTCGCCTCTCCCACCTTCCGTCTCTCTGCCATCTTTATTTTTCTACCCGTCTCACCTTCCCGTTTACTCTCAACCCCGCTCACTCTCTCTCTTTTCATCCTAGAGCGTACTCGTAACACGCTCGTTCCGCGAAAGAACTTTATAACGCGATTTGCGTCCCGCGACTTTTCCCCGTTTCATCGACGCGGACATCGAAGCGCGATCCGATCCGTGGAATCGCCATTCGAGCGCGTAATCGTACGACTAGGCGTCTCTCGCTAAACAAATTTCCCGCGTGCTTGCGATGGAAGAAAACGATTTATGGCGAAACTTTCGAGAGGGAGAATAAAAAGAGCTTAGCCAGGCCTGACCCAGACCTATTTAATCCGTCAAGTCCGTTGAACGGACGCTTCGCGACACCTGCTGCTGGCATCGCTATCGCATCCACTGCCACGCACTCGCTGCTACCGATCACACGTGGTCGTGGTAGATTTTCGAAAAATCCAACGATCGTAGATTGAAATGGCAAATGGTCTCGCTTCGTTCGCGGAATTCGTCTCCCCGACGTGGAATAAACCGACGTGCAATTAAGGCGGCGGGGAGCGAAGGAACGATTTAACCTTGTGTACTATGCGGCCGCGTATCGTCGAGGGTGCTTTTTATTTCGTTTCGTTCGCAACGCGGGGCAATTTATCGTCTCGAGTTTACGGAACCCAAGTATGAACTTCCAGACAGTTTGTCGACGATGTTTGACCCAGACCCATTGAAATTCTCCCCTCTCCTTGCCCCGGCCGTGTAAATGTCGGTCGAACTTAACGACGCGAAGGTGCCCTCGGTGCCGCGGTTCCAGCGAATACCGGAAAACGGATCTTTCTTATACCACTAACTCTTATGCCACTAACCGAACCACCGCGACTTCTTTTCCAGGGAAGTGTTTGCACTTGAGCGGATTGACACCCGAACCTTTGACGGCGGATGACGACTACAAGCTCTTGCGCTTTGGTATCGGTTTCACGAATATGGTGGCTCGCGCCACTAAAGGCAGTGCCGATTTAACGAGGAAAGAAATCAAAGAAGGTCAGTATACACCGGAGGAGGCGAAGATAAAAGCGATCTCACGCCGCACCGACACCACGATCGTTCGTCGCGGCTCGTGCGTCTGTATGCGCGCGTATACCCATGGATCGAGATCGTGGTTCGCGCGTGAATCGTAGTGGAAGCAGAATTTCGACGAGATAGCGTTCCCTGATACGTATATACATACTCGCGCAAACGTCTCGTTCGTCGTGGTAGTAAAATAAAACGGGGGGGACAGACTTATTACCAAGCTCGACGCTTTGCGTAGCAGATGGACGACAATGACAACGACGACCACGACGAGGACGAAGTATCCCCAACGCGTGTAAAAATTTGAAGCGTATCGCGCACACATGGGCGACAAAAACCCCGGGACCGTTTTAGACCGGGACAAACGCATCGGAACGTGTAGGCACACTGCTGGGTCGTCGGTGGATCGCAGGCAGCGTCCGATCGGGTATAGTTTTCGACGCGCGTCGCGTACGATCCGACACTCTTGGTATTCGTCCGATTCGCGTGCATCGATTTTTTTTTTCCCCCTCGTGGACGAAAACATCATCGCGGAGCGAACTCGACTCGATACCCGAAATCACTCCGAGTATCGGTCGGAGGTACAAAGTTGGACAGGCAGGAAATTTGTATCGCCGTTTATACGCGTATTTGCCTGTCTGCTTATCCGAATCGTCGAATACGCGCGCTTTACGTAAATCTTTTTTCTTCCTTCTTTTCCCTCCACTCGAGATAGGTATAACGCGTTTCGATCGTTCGAAGCGAGCACGCAAGATTGCGTTCGCTTTGCGTTCCTCGCGTAAAGAAAGCAGACGCGATGGTCTCGTTGAAAGTGGAAAATTTCGTTAGGCCGATAACGATTCGGCGGAAAGAATCGTTGCCTCGTTAAAACGCGATTATGCACCGACGTACGTACACCGTTCCCTGCTGGCCTAAAAAACGAGGATACCACAACGCAACGAAATTATTCGCTTAACACGGCCAACGAAGCGGTTTTCAAACACGCGTGTATCGTTCTTTCGCCCGAACGGCTTTCGCGTTAAGCTTTCGCGTTAAGCTTTCGCGGATTCCGCGCGTGCAGATTTTCCGCAAATCCGCTTCTTCGCGAAGCGAATACTCGCACGGAAAATTACCGCGTACACACCTCGCCACAACCCGATCGAACACGGTTTAAAACCGGTGAGAACCGAACGAAAAACGCGAGACGATGTGAGGCGAAAAGGCTACGAAGAAGGCGTAATAACGCGCGATACGCGTTACGCGTGCACGAAAATGCGAGAAAAAGAAAAAAGAAAAAAGAAAAAAGAAAAGAGACGGGAGGAAAAAAAAGTTGGTTTACTTACCGTCTCTGGATGGCTGCCAGCGACAACAAGTCCGCGTGCCACGCGAGTTTCACGATTCACGATCTATCGAACGTGGCGCGATCACCGAACCGCGTTTATCGCTTATCGTTAATCGGCAGAAAAGCCGATCGTCGTTTCGCGTGCGAACAAGCGTGGAAAAAAACGAACGACGATCGAGGAGAGAATGTTGCGCGATCGGCTTTAACGCGTTGGGTTCAGCCGGTTCTCTTCGCGATCGTCGTCGCGAGAAGACTGGCGGCACGCGGTATCAGTGTTGCCAACCGAAAGCGACGAAATTCTCTCGACTGTGGCGAGTACGACGACGACGACGACGACGACACGACACGACACGACACGACGCTTCTCGAGCGAGCAACGAACGGGGACGATCGGGCCGGGCCGGGCCGGGACGAGACGGGACGGGACGGAACGGAACAGCGTACGCGAGCGGATACTCGGAAAGATAGGCGAAACGAGTTTTCGAACGTTGTTGTCGAACGATCTAGAATTCGTTGCCGCGTTACCTTTGCCGATCCCCATCGGCCACACGAAACTTCTCCTAAATTTCTTTTCTCTCTTTCTCTGTTTCTTATAGGCAGTCACATTCTATTGGAGAAATTACGAAAATACAAGCCGAAGATCGCCGTGTTTAACGGCAAACTGATATACGAGGTATTCTCCGGGAAGAAGGAGTTCGGATTCGGTAGACAACCAAACCTGGTGGAGGGTACGAACACGGTAAGAGAAGATATCGAAATACGTGTACTCGCGCGTACATACGGTAGAGATTTCGTAGGATAGGAATAAAGTTTTCTCCGGCTATAACGATGGACAAATTTTGCAGTACATGTGGGTAATGCCATCGAGTAGCGCGAGGTGCGCGCAACTACCGCGGGCGGCGGACAAGGTGCCATATTACGCGGCGCTGAAGAAGTTTCGCGATTACTTGAACGGCACGATCTCCCATCTGGACGAGTCCGACATAGTGTTCGCGGACTCGAAGCTGAAGAAGAAGGAACAGGAGGCGATCGAGGATAAGAAGCCGGCGTTTTGCGAGGAGCTGACGAACGAGGGAGACAGCAGGATCGCGGAGGTGAACGGGACCGGGATCAAGCAGGAGTCGAATTCTCAGATACCCGGGAAGAAAAAGAGGGGCAGGCCGAAGAAGATCAAAAATCCGGAGGATCAACCGCCACCCGATCCCGAGAAATTAGACGCGAACGGCGAGGTGATAAAGAAACGACGCGGACGACCGAAGAAGATTCATCAACAGCAGAAGCAACAGGAACGAGAGATCAGAGAACGGGAACAGCAGCAGCAGCAGCAGCAACAGCAACAGCAGCATCAAAGCATGGCTCATCTCGGAGACGCTTACGGGAGCGTGGTACCGAATTGTTTCTCACCGCCCAAGACGTTCGCGCACATGGCCCCGTATCCGCAACCGATCAACGATTCCGGATTCTACGGGCAAGGCATCAACGACAGCCCTTACAGCATAAACGCGAAACAGAGCCCGGTACACTTGCAGCATTACAGCCAAAGCCCGAAATCCATGTCGCTCTCGTTTACTCATTCCGATCTGTCCTCGGAGATCAATACCGCGATCTCTTCGGAGAACAATCTCGAACCGTCGCCGTTGACATCGCCGAGCGTCGAGCATCCGGACTTTGAACCGCCCACCAGTATCTCTCAGCAAAATATGAACAACGATCATCGCCAGTACAATCCGGCCGGAAACGGCGAGAACACGGGTCATCACGGTAGCCCGGGAACGCCGTCTCATCCCAGTTACACCAGTTACATGGGTTACCACGAGCAAACCTCCGAGCCCCATAATCCTCATCCCCATCAGACCACGCCGACACCGTTGAGCCAAACTACCGACGAACATTCGCATCATTCCCATCCGACTCCTCCGCACACGCATCCCCACACGCCTACTCACGCCTCCATGTCGCCTCACCACCATCCGCACGAACAGTACGCCATGAAACGGAACACCGGACAGGACGTAGCCTCGAAGAGTCTCAGCGACCTGGAATCTCTAGTCGATCAGATACCGAGTATAGCCGACGGCGGTAGTCAACGTCTTCAGCACTCGCATCCCGGCATCACCGACGATGGAACACTCGCGGAGAAAATGGAAGCGCATCATCAGTCTTACCTGTCAGGATTTTCCGCAATGTCCAATGCCGGCATGTCCAATTACAGTCCTCCCTTGGCGCCCGCCGGTGCCATCTATCCGACCTCGTTGCACCATTCTCCCAACGACGGTTACGCTTCTCTCTACGGCATGAACGGACGGCAGCATCAAGACTCGCAGCAGCAACAGCAGCAGCAGCAGCAACAGCATCAACAGCAACAGCAGCAGCAACAACAGCAGCAGCAGCAACAGCAGCAACAACAGCAGCATAGTAAATCTTATACCGTCGAAAATCTAGCGTCTAGCAATTACACGCCGAGCATGAACCACGGACATCCCGGTAACACCTATCCGAATATAATCCCAGGACCTCATTATCCCGTGCCGATGGGATCGACGAACGGGTACCTTTTCGGTGGCCTTGAGTCAAGCTTGATGCAACGCACCTACGGGATGAGCGGTATGAGCGGTATGGGGGGAATGCACCCATCCCTCGGCCATATGGCCAATCCTTATTCCTACAATGGTTCGTACTCTAGTTCCTTCGACGCCTATCCGGCCCCGCCGGCAGGGATTCACGCGCCCAGCGCCAATTATCCCGGCGGTTACGCGAGCGTTGGTAGCGCGACGCCAGGTACTTCTACACCACCGTCTTACCTCCCTTCCCATCACAGGCCGTCGGTCGACCTCGCTTACGACGGTGTATGATAATCGATGTAAAGCTATTCCACGTACACACATACGCGCATATACGCACGCTCGCACTCGCTCACACTTTGTCACACAAATTCGCACACACCACTCGCACTCGCCTCTACACTGGCACACGTGCGCGTGTGCGCGTCGACACAAACACACAGACATACACGAACACCCACGCGCGAACACGCACACACGCAGTTACCGACAAACACGAACCAACGGACGAACAAATGGACGAATGGACGGACGGACGGACGGACGGACGGATGGACGGATGGACGGATGGACGGATGGACGGACGGACGGACGGACGGACGGATAAAAAGACAAACAAGCAGACGATTCGAGCGCTACGTTTATCTTTTCTACGTATTTTTACACGTTTTAGGATCCACGCGCCGGAACGATCGTCTCTTTCTGGCGCCATTTGCTACTGCAATTTGCGCGCGCGTTTTCTTCCTCTTTCTCCTTTCACCGGTTTCTCCGTCGCTTCTTTCGCTTTCCTCGTCCTCGCGCACCACTCTCACCTGCAATCTCCCGCGGGATCCTCCCTTCCGATTTTCCCTGCTTTTTCTTCCCTCGTCCGTCTCGATTAACGATTATGCCGCGAGTAGGAACGAGCGCAGCGAGATGCGCCGCTGCACCAAAGGAAAACGCGTGGAAAGGGAAAAGAAAAAAGGATAAACAGGGCGAAAGGGGAAAGGACCGTTTGTCGCACGCGCTACGCAATCAGGCTGTCGCATTATGTAAACGCGTTAATAGGGTTTCGAAAGTGGCGTGCTCGTCGAGATGCTATTCGTCTGTTTTTCCGCAGTGATCGCGCGCATCGACCGTCGATAATGGGAGAAGTCGAATGTTCGAGTTTCGCTCTTTTCCACCGATTTTTGCAACGTTACTGTTACGCTTTCGTTATTGTTGAGGGAAAAAAAAAAAACAAAAAATTATTCCGCCTGTTTCGCTTAACCGGCGAGCATACGCGAGCATCTGTTGCTGTTTCAACGAATCGGTACATGCATTTTTCACCGAACGTCACTCGTTACTACTTTGAAAATTTCCCGCATACGCGTACCGTATAGTTCTTGTTATTTTATCCTTTTTCCGTTTCTTGCGTTGTACGAGAGAGAGAGAGAGAGAGAGAGAGAGAGAGAGAGAGAGAGAGAGAGAGAGAGGGGGGAGAAGGGTAGTTGGTTAGTTTGTACGCGACGAATCGTTTACATCACGTTATTAGCTGTAATCGATATAACCACGAGTGAGATTGCTATTCGATAAGCGGTAGCGTTCGACTTTTGTCCGAGTTGAAACGAGCATTTTTTACGAGCCAATGGACAAAATATATCCGAATTAGTGGAATATGTGTATGCACGCGTTCGCGTTGAAAGATTGACCGGTAATCGTAGCGATACGCTAATCGCGAAAATGTAATTACGAAAGTTCGTCGGTACGCCGAGTAGAGAGTAAGTACGTTGTTTCTCCATGGTATTCCGTAAAGATATTCCGTAAAGATATTCCGCAAAAATATTCCGTAAAAATTTGGAAATATTTTCAGTTGCTCGTGTAACGAACGCGACGACGTAGATACGCGGCTGTCGCGTCGTG